CGAGAACTAATCTCAGAAGACAACGACCTAACAAGTTAGACGATGGCTGTGAAAGCCTAACGCATTTTACATATTATTTTTCCTATTGTGTCATAATTGTACATTCAAAAATATTTAAGCGTTTCTTATGATTATATCTTGCTGTAAGATGATTAACACAATTTTATGTTTAGTTTTCTTACTTTATACTTGGAAAAAAGTAGTTTTTTTTGAGTTTTCATCTTAAACGAAAACATGAAGTTTGCTCAAAACTTGTCAAATTCTAGTGATCACATATACCTTCAAATTTTTTGAATATGTAGTTTTGTTGGGAGTTGCAGATCAACCTTAAACACATGAGATTAGTTTATAATAGAAAACTGTATTTGTTGGAAAAAAATCTTACAAAGAAATAAAAACTTCTGCTGTATAATGGTATATTAAAATAATTAAAATTTATCCAAAAGGATTACAATTATTCCAAGACGTTTTCGGACCATCGTCAGTGAAACATTTTAAAAAGTAGTTGAAACTAGATACTGAAATAGATTTAAAAACGATTAAATTAGATTACAATCATGGTTAAATTTATTAAGATGATGACACAAGATCGATGTTATGAGATTCCACATAAAGGAAACATACTTTTTCCCTGTTCGAAAAAGGAGACTACTTTGACCACCGGGTGAGATAAGCCAACTGAGTCTATGTCATATGTGATGTTGTGTTTAAAATAAAAAAGTTGATATCAGTTACTTTTACATGATACAGACTGTAGAAAAAGTTTTTATTGAAAAAAATGAGTGACAAGAAATACGAATCGACATATCGAAGCATTTTTTTCTAACACGAGCCCATTTATTTGCAATTGCATGTATTCAATTTAACTGATACTCGCTGCGTATCGAACAATAAGCATTTTTACATAAAAAATCGTTATTTAACAAATGTTACCAAGAAATTTTCTCTGTGTGCAGTTGTAATTTTTAAGTAAAATCTAAAAGGTAGGTCTAAAAATATAAAAATATTAATGACACCACACCTGGTATATTCCATCCATATTTTACACACAATAGTTGCTTTCGTTTTGCACCTTTTCTTTGTTAATCTTGGCTAACTTGAGCATGGCAATATTTGTTTGTTTCGTTGAGCTGCCTCACATCATGTCAACTTAGATTAGCTGAGATTTCGTGTAAAACGAAAACGCTCGTTGTAAGAGGTTGGCACTGTAGATCATTTTATATTTCGATAAGTTAGTACAAGATGATATCTCTCTGTAGGAATGACGGCTCTTACCATATGCTTCGATGCTTTAATAGAATCATTTTATGGAGATTTAGATAAGGGTACTGCTGTAATTTGCTTTTTTTTTGCTTGATTTTAAAAGTTTTAAACAAATAAAATATTAATAGAAAAAAGTGTACATAAATACAATAATATAGTCACATAAAAAATGACAAATCTGGAATAGTTATTTTAAAACTGGAACTAACATTTGTATAATTCCACTGTAACCTTAGTCACTTTAAAAATCACTAGTCCGAGACAACTGCTTTTTTTCTAGTACATGCTTCTTTTAAAACAATGAGTTGGTCATTTCGTCAACTCAAACCCTTCTGCTTCAAATAGAGTTGAGATTAGGTATAGAGTTGAACTGTGTCCTCTGAATTAGTATTAGAAACGAAATCATCATATAAAGATCACATAAAATAATATTTGATGCCAAAGGAGACCTTCATCTTTAATCTTTTATTAACTGTTCATCTTCAATTTGAATTTGACAAATAACCTAAAATTAATCAACAAACTAAAGATATGTTTTCAATTTGGGACCACAATGAAGAATTTCATTGAGTGAAATACCTGATTCCGAAGTTGCACTCGAATCTAGTGCAACCCTTACTGGAATACTAGTACTATCTGAGTTAAAAACAGCATGATGTGGTGTATAATATGAGGGACGCAATTCAGATAATTTTCAAAGAGGAGTGCCGCTGTGGTCAAAACAGTTGCCTACAAATATATTCTGGCATTTAAAAGCCTCTGGAAGTTGTACATTTGATTTGGGCACCTCTTCTATCTCCCAGAACTTGTTCAGTTGGACACGATCCGAAATATGTTTTAACACGACTCCATTTCGTGGATCGATGTCTCTCTGGCTAGGGAGCGTTCTCTCCGAGCTGTTAGATAGCTATTGCGAGGTAAACACAGGTCAGTTGCCAGACGTTTCAGTGCCTTGACAAAAGATGATCGAACAGACAACAAACACCGGATCATCCACTTCTTATTGGCATAAATAATGTAGCTGTAAGGCATCGTATCTATTCATACACTAAAGAGCGTTTGGAACCTTCTTCGACTGAAGTCTTCTTAGTTCGACGATTTTTTTTTCACACAGGTGAGAAATAAAATGCAGAAAGTTGAAAAAAGCTACTCAGCCAACTAGGTCTTGACGGGTATCAAGATGTAGACTGACTTGATCGCGATCGGAAGATGCACTACCTTTTTATGCGTTTCTTGATTACATCTCCGTAGCGATCTTCCGTCGGAAGGCCAATACAAACGTAGTTGATAACACCCTTTGTTATTGGCCTGCTAGAGTGACAATCTTCGCTGTGATTGGTGCACTCTGGTGACACATATTACACTATAACCTAACGCCCTTTGGATTGCCATTGGAGAATATTTTTCGAATATTATTTACACAAAAAGTTGCGCTCACATAATACCATCAACCTGCCAAGCTGTAAAATACATCTCATCTACTAACTGAAGTCCTTGAAATTTATCACAACTGCTTAAGTCCACTTGCGTTTTAGGCAAACAGTTGAATATTATTGTATAAAGAGAACATTGGAATAAGCTTTAAAAAGCTAACTATAAAATCAGTAAAATTTACGATAATGACCCTGTGATGATTGGGAAAAATTTGGGCAAAAAATATTAAGAATCCCATTGTAAAAAATGGCCATTTTAAAGTGTTAGAAGGGTATATGAACTTTGGAAAAATCCAGATACTAAGACTACCACAAGTTGTTGAAAGAAAACTCACAAAGTAATAAACAATTCTAAATAAAAATATGACACCATTCGTAATATCTTTTCAGATACAATTAATAAAACGTAAACTCTGAACGTAAATGTTCAGTAAAGAAGAAAGTAATGTGGTCTGGAATTATTTCTTCGTAATATTTCGTTTGCAGCTACAGACGTCATCAAAATCTATATTAAATAAAAATGTTCCTCTCGACTTAGGTTGATTGCTAACTCATGTTACCTGATATGTTAAACCATGTTAATATAGATGTTTGGAAAACACAATTGCTGAATAATCTTTGGTATGAGTCAAAAGTAGTCCTTTAATCCAATATAAGATTTTCAAGTTTTCTTTCATAACGTAGTTAATTAAACTCACATCTTTACATACATTTAAGAATAGAAGAATACATTGATAACAGGTCGCCAATCAAAAAGTTGCTGCAAATAGTTTTATTTCAATGAATGATAAATAATTTTTTAACTAAAATTTTATTAAGTTAATTTATATTTTAGATTAAATACGCTGCTCATGACGTATATGCATCTTTTATATCAAATTCAGGCTAATGTTTTTTAATATAGTGAGGTTGAATGAGAAAAATGGTCGTTAATTAGGATTGCAAAATTTTAAAAAGGGCGAGGTATCAAAGATAAAATAAAATAGAATTTAGCGCACAACGACACTGGTTCGACAAATGATTATATGTATATTATCAACACTACTTATCGACACATGCTTTAAAAACTCACACAACTGACACTAGCCATGCCATACCAGTGGCATTGCGCGCTAGCGTTCTGTTAGTTTATCTTTGGTACCTCGCGCTCCTGTATCATACCGGTGCTCATCTACGGAGCACAGACATGGACATTTACATAGGCCAATTTGGATAGGATAAGGAAGGCACAAAGAGCTATGGAGAGACAAATGTTGGGTGTATCACTTAGAGATAGAAAACGTAACCAGTGGATCAGAACCAGAACAAAGACAGTAGACGCGATAGAACAAGCAGCAAAACTGAAATGGAAATGGGCTGGACACAATAAACGTCTCCAAGACGGACGATGGAACAATGCCATCGGAAAGTGGCGTCCATACAATGCAAAGAGATCAAGAGGCAGACCACAGATGAGGTGGAAAGATGACATCAGGAAACAAGGAGGTCCCACATGGCAGAGAACGGCTCAAGATAGGGAAAGATGGAGAGAACTGGGGGAGACCTATATCCAACAATGGAAGGATAGAGAATAGGTTCAAAAAAAAACCTCGCGTTTTTAACAGCTGGCAACCATAATTTGCGACCATTTTTCCTCAGGCAATCCTATATCATCATATTAAAAGAAATTAACTTTAATTTGTTATAAAAAAAAACATGCATATACGTCACAAGCAGCGTATTTTATATAAAAAATAAATGAACGAAATTTTTTTCAAAAATTAACTACTATTAACTGAGTTAAAACTATTTGCTGCCACTTTTTGACTGGCAACCTGTTATCAATGTATTCTCCTAATGTTAATTTAATGATGTTGCAGTGGGATCTCGTACTATTTGTTGTTATTATCTTTAGAGTTCCTTTATCGTTCCTTAAATAAGTTTGTTCCGGTAAAAATCCAGAACTATACAAAACTATTTGATGCATGATGCTGTCATGAATGTCGCTGGATAGTTTAAAATAATGTGTACATTTTCCAGACTTTGCTAAAGAAACCACTGTATTACACTCTATTAAATACTCACTCTATTAACACTCTATTAAATAGTTTTAAATAACTTTTATAGTGTTGCAAGAAGCGCAACAAAATACTTTAATGTTAGTCGATTCGACATAGTCAAAAATTCTGAAAGCATATCTTGGAGTTAAGAAGCAGAGTAGCTAAAAATCTTGTTCTAACAAAAACCACCACATGCCATTGCTGTATCAAAGCTCAGTTATTGCTAGAAACGCTTAGTAACTTTTATTTTTCGTTATCTTTTTAGTTTGGTGCCCTTACTCCCTTAGAACCTAGGCTAGGTAAAAAATTAATCGAACCTCTTACAAATCTTATACACAGGTATGTATGTACTTTAGTTTTTTGTTAGTAGAAGAAAGTATGTACATTTTGTATAATAATTGTTTGTGTGTTTAGATAGAAAGGGTTGACTTTGACGAGAGTCGCAGTCACCGCGCGGTTTTCCTTTCCTTTTCGCGAAATATTAACCATGTTATCCATCCTAGGAATCTACTTCATTTATAGTCGCATTATAAAATGTGCCAGTCAGTTGCACTGTACATCGATGACACAAGTATATAACAGTATTGTTTGGTTTAGGCGGAGAATAATAAGAGAAGTTGGTTGTTTATAAAGTGATGTGTCTTTGTAGATTTTCGACAAGCCTATGACAATATAAACAGGGATAAAATATACTTAATTATTGATGAATTTATGTGTATCTTGGCACCAACGTAAATGCAAAATGGGAACAGGCCACATAAATTAAGACGAGAATAGAACGAGCTAGAGCAGCATTTAGCAATATGAAAAAGCTCCTCATGAGCAAGGATTTGTCTCTTCCCCTAAAACTACGTCTAGTTAAATGCTACATTTTTCCGATCTTACTGTATGGTGTGGAGACCTGGACGCTGACGGAGACGCTCACGAGAAAACTAGAAGCATTCGAAATGTGGGTGTACCGACGCATTCTTCGTATATCCTGGATCGAACATGTCACCAACATAGAGGTACTCCAAAGAATCGGGAAGGAGAAAGAAATCGTGAATACAATTAAACAAAGAAAGCTTGAATATCTAGGCCACATATTGAGACACGATAAGTACCGTTTGCTGCAATTAATTGTCCAGGGAAAAATAGACAGTAAGCGAGGGCCAGGCAGGCGAAGACACTCGTGGCTCCAAAATCTGCGGAAGTGGTTCGGGCTCACATCGGTCGAACTATTCAGAAGCGCCGCAAACAAGATCAGAATTGCCATGTTAATAGCCAACGTTCGCAACGGACAGGGCACTTGAAGAAGAAGAAGAATTGGTGAATTTGGTATACCAGTGAAATTGGTAAAATTATTTCAAGCCACCATGGCTCGCACAGAACGAGTCCAAAACCAATTGACAGATCCCTTCCAAATATCTTTTATGTGGGTCTTGAAGAAAATGCGAAAGAAATTGGCTAGTAATCAACCAAAGCCCTAATACAAGCAAGGGAACAACGAAACTCGCAAATTTTGACAATAGACGACGTCGACGTACAGAGGTATTTTACATAAAAAGCTGACCAAAAGGTGAAATTTCAAAAACTAGCATTTCGGGCCGATTCTTTCCCTAAACTAGGTAGCTTTATGTGACGTCATGTGTTACCTCCCACCACCTCGAATAGCCTTACCAAACAAATTTTGCAGCACCCAATTCGTAACACTGCGTTTAGTTGTGAGATTTTACTGCTTACACTTTTTTGTGCGATTTTCTTATTTTTATATTTCAAGTGATTTTTGTGAAAGGGGCAATTATGGATATGCCAGAAGACGATAAGTACTCAATGTTAAACCATTTTTTTTTTAAATATAATATAAATAGCAAATTAATAAATCAGCTTATATTACTCACAGTATTTTCGTTTTTATTTTATTTATAATCTTTGTTATGAAATAACTCTTAAGCAGTATCGATCAGTAGAGTATAAGTAAAAACATTCGTTTATATTAAAAATTATACAAAAATTGAGATTTAAAAAAATGGATCCATATTGAGTTCTTACCTTCCTCTGGCATACTCTACAATAACAACTGTCCCTTTCACAATAATCACTGTTGGAATAAATCCATAAAAACATTTAAAAATGTTTTTAATTTAGTAATAAAAATGTAATTCAACTTTTGACAATACTCTTCCAACAGTGTAAATATATGAATGACAACAGTGCTTAGTTTTTCGTGTGCATAAGAAATATTAAGTTTGACAAAATCCTCTGGAAGAAACTGAAGTATTTGAATTGTGTATACAGGTAAATCCTGAAAATATGGATTAATCATATAACAAACAGTGAAGAGATAAGAAAAAGCCATTAGAGCACGCAAATATGTAATAGAAACCATAAAAACAAGAAAGCTGCAGTACCTGAGAACCTAAAAATTTAGGGAAAGATAAGAATCTAATGGCTTCGAAACTTGCGGAAATGGTATAGATTGGAACTTTTCAGCCAGTCCCATCTAGAGTAGCCGTTTATTTAGCAGTTTTTTAGAAAAAAATACCCAAAAATCACTAATTAATGCATTTTTTCAACAAAAAATTGCAAATAACTCGATTTTCCGATTCAATTGGAAAAATGAAAAAATACATTTGAACTTGAAAAAATATATAAAATCGAATAAAAAAAGGTTTGCTGCACTAGAAATTCAAAACAAAATTTAGTCGGTATGCTCTACCTATAGGGGTAAATCGCTAACGATAAGCAAATGAAAGCTCTTTTCCTTTTATTTTAGAAAAAAAAATAAACCAAGAAATTTTTTATCAAAAATTTGTACTTTCTCCATTTTTCTCTTTATTGAAATTTTGACTAAATATTTTTGTATGTTAGTGTTTGTTTTTTTTATTTACGCTTTTTTGTTAAAATTATCATCCAGAACCGTATACTTTTTCTAATTTCTTGTTAATTTTAGTACGTCTGCAATGAGTTTGCTTTACGAATGCATTAACACTGTCATAGCTGTCCTGATTAGTATTTCATCTGGTATGCCGAACCACGCGGCCAGTATACAACTTTGCGTCCAAAAACTGAGGATTCTGATAGAAGATTCAGATCAAAACTGTGAGTATATTACTGAGATCAAAATATTTTTCAGTTAAGTTAACATAGCCATATTTTAAGACCATTAAGTCGGGGTAATTTGTGTAAATACAAAAAGTTTAACGTAGAAATTTAAAATCCAAAATGGATGGTTTAAATTAGAATATGCCGATGCCGATAAATTATAATACGCCGGTGGATCAGTTCGGTCGATGCATGAACCGTACGCTAAGACATGGAGACATGGTTGTTTACAGCTTCTTGTTACTTATTTCATTGATCCATGGGAAGGCTTTAAGACGCTCTTCTTCTTCTTCTTGGCCTTCTGTCGTCCATGTTTGGACATAGGCCTCTCCCAACTCCTTCCATCGGTCTCTATCCTGAGCAACATATTTCCAATTTGTTCCGGCTATTCTTCTAATGTCATCAACCCATCTCATCTGTGGTCTTCCTCTTGGTCGTTTACTTTCGTAAGGTCACCAATGTTGTATTGTAGTATTCCAACGTTGGTCTTTCAGTCTAGCAGTGTGGCCCGCGAAGCTCCATTTAAGTTTTGCAATTTTTATTGTTATGTCCTCGACTTTTGTTTTGGATCTTACCCAGTTGTTCCTCTTTTTATCTGACAGTCGTATACCTAACATTGCTCTTTCCATTGTTCTTTCTGTTGTGGCTAGTTTATTCATGTTTGCCTTGGTTAGGGTCCAGGTTTGACATCCATATGTCATGATAGGAAGGATGCATTGGTTGAACACTTTGCTCCTCAAGTATTGGGGTATTTTGCGGTTCTTAAGTATCCAACTAAGTTTTCCAAATCCTGCCCATGCTAGTCTTGCTCTTCTAGTAATTTCCGCACTTTGGTTCTCTTTGTCAAGTCTCAGGATTTGGCCTAGGTAAATATATTCCTGGATTTGTTCTATCTCACTACCGTTTATAGTTATATGTCTGGGGTCATCTGTGTTTGTCATTATTTTTGTTTTTTTCATATTCATTTTTAGGCCGACGTATTGGGAGCTGGCTGCCAGTTCCCCCGACATACTTTGCAGTTCCTTGAATGTGCTCGCTATAATCACTATGTCGTCAGCGAATCTGAGGTGGTTTAACTTGTTGCCATTAACGTTAATGCCATAGGTTGACCAATTTGTAGTTTTGAAGACGTCTTCTAGGGCTAGGTTGAAAAGCTTTGGCGATATTACGTCTCCTTGTCTCACTCCTCTCTTAATGGGGATAGGATTTGTATTTTCGTCTAGTTGTACTATCATAGTTGCATTTTCATATATATTATGTATTAGTTGCCTGTATCTCGAATCTATTCTACAATTCACAAACGCAAAGAATAGCGGACACATATCGCTAATTTGAAATGCAGTGGCGAGAGTTGCTGTTTCGCCAACACGTGTACAGCTCTTAACCTACAATTAACATTTTGTTTTTCAATTCCATTTTTTATTTGTGCACAAACCATTTCTATAGGGATTAAGTCTGGATAATATGGTGGAAGTTTTTTTTTAAGTGGACATGATTTCATACAGTTGCGGTTTTAACATTGATACAAATATTTTTTCTGTCAACCAAAATTACATATCTGCTTTTTTAGAATTACTGGTTGGTGCTCTATTTATTTGTACCTTATAGTATGGAGCATTGTTAGTGACAACAGATCTTTCAACCATTTTTCGTAATTTTCCGCATTCATGTCATCATAATAATCTCTCGACTTGGTACCTCATGTAAAATTTTTTTGTTCACCATCGTTCACCAACCTAATTCCTTTGAAATATGTTTAAACAATTTTTTACCACGTTCATCTGACCAACTATTCGACTTAGTGTGTCCTGCATGTACATAGGTTTCATCAACATATACAATTGGCTTACCTTCAGTTCTGTAGTATTTAATATGATCTATATACTTTACTTACGTCGTAGATCACGAATATCATTCCATGCAATTAATAAATTTCGATTATCTTTAGTTTGCTTCCATTTAAATCCCAAATATTTTACAATCATCTAGAGAACTTACACTTCAAGTCCACTCGTACTCCTCTTCACGCCTTTTCTGCAAATGCTTGAATGGTACACAACAACCTTCAGTCTCATGATCATGGTAAACTATATTTCTAACGAACTGTTTGTTGTGCCCCTTGAATCTGTCGCACTTGCTTTCCGTCTAGCTGGTGTTGTCGCTGGAAATTCTCATGGGTCAATTGTATCTGCGGTTCTTAACATATTCGTTTGTTAAATTATCTTCTTACCTGTGCATACATATATTCCAGTAGTTTCTCTTATGAGACTGGCAAACAAACAAATCAAGTATACGGCCTCAATTTTAACGCAAAAAAACAGTTTATGATGTTACTTAAAACCGTAAACAGCCACAACAATAATGATTAATTCGCAGCCTTCTTGCTTTGCCCTATCCGTTTCGGACGTTGGCTATTAAAAAGGCTATTTTGACTTTGTTTACGGCACCTCTGAACAGTTCGGTCGATGTTAGTCCGAACCATTGTCGCAGGTTATGCATCCATGAGTGTCGTCTTCTTCTTGGTCCTCTCCTACTGTCGATTCTTCCTTGGACTATTAACTGTAGCAGCCGGTACTTAGTATGCCTCATGACATGTCCGAAGTACTCAAGCTTCCGTTTCTTTACGGTGAAGATTATTTCTTTGCTTTTGCCTATTCTCTGCATTACTTCCACGTTAGTGATGTGGTCTGTCCAGGATATCCGAAGAATACGGCGATATATCCACAGCTCAAAGAATTCTAGTTTCCTCAGGGGGAATTCCGTTGTGGTCCATGCCTTTGCTCCATAGAACAAGACCGGGAAGACATAACACTTGACCAGTCTTAATTTTAGTTCCATTGAGATTTTGCTTGTGAACCACTTTTTCATATTGTTGAACGCGTTTCGCGCTTTTTCAATTCGTGATCTTATTTCTGTTGACTGGTCCCATTTTGTGTTGACTGTGGTTCCAAGGTATGTGTATGTCTCCACTTGTTCTATTTTTCGGTTGTTTAATGTCAATTGCATCGGAGGTTGTTGTGTTCTGCTGATGAGCATGCATTTAGTTTTGGTTGTATTGAGTTCTAAACCATATTCTTGACTTGCTGTGTGTATGCTTTGCATGAGTCTTTGAAGCTTGTTGCAGTCATTTGCGATAATAACTGTGTCGTCAGCATATCTAATATTATTGATTACCTCTCCGTTTACTTTGATACCCTCCGAAACTTCTCCCAGTGCTTCTCTGAAGATTTGTTTAGAGTATATATTGAACAGGAGCGGCGAGAGGACGCATCCCTGTCGTACACCCTTTTTAATATCTATCTTCCCACTGTGTAAGTTGTCCATCTTTATCTCAGCACTTTGGTTCCAATAGAGACTGGTTATTATGCGCAGATCCTTGCCATCAATATGCATCTTCCTGAGCATTTCCATGAGTTTATCATGTTTGACCTTGTCAAACGCCTTGGAGAAGTCGATGAAGCACAATTGGATGTCCTTGTGCATGTCTCTGCATCTTTGAATTAAAACTTGCAGACTGAAGATCGCCTCTCTTGTGCCCAATGCGCTTCGGAATCCGAACTGTGACTCCCATATATTTGCTTCGCATTTGTTATAATATATTCTATTGTGTATAATTTTGGTGAAAACTTTGGTAATGTGATTTATCAAGCTTATTAAGCGGTGTTGATCACAGTGTTTTGCACTTGGTATTTTAGGTATTTCTACAAAGGTCGATCGAAGCCATTCCTCCGGAATCTCCCCTTTGTCGTAAAAGTGTTAAAAAGGCCTGTCAGAAAATCGAGGAAGTGGTCATCCGTTTCGCATAGGAGTTTTATGATCTCGCCCTGTATGTTGTCGGGACCTGGTGTTTTGTCGTTTCTTAGCGATGAAATGGCTTTTTCTACTTCAGACCTTAGTATTTCGGGTCCAGTCATGTCGTCATCTTGGTCCACTGTCGCTCTGCGTTTATCGTTAAAAAGTCGTTCTACGTAATCTTTCCATGTGTCAATGAGCTTCAAGTCGTCTGATATAAGGTTACCGTCTGCGTCTATTAGTGTCGGGTGGGGATTATTGGTTTTCTTTTTAGTTGGTAATTCTTTGATCTTTTTGTGCATGTTGTGGTAGTCATATCTTCTGTCGCACTCTTCGATTTCATCGCATTTCTCCTTCAGCCAGCGTTCCTTCGCTTCCTTTATCTTTGTTTTTATATTGTGACTTGTTTCTTGATACTTCACTTGATTTTTGCATTTGTGTTGTCTTCTTTCTTCCATCATATCAAGGATTTCATCCGTCATCCATTCTTTCTTCTTTACGCGCTCCTGTATTCGCAGCCAACAACTCAAATTATCACATGTATTTGGATACCAACTTAAAGGTTCAGTGGGATCAATAAATTTAAAGAGAGGAAATCAAGAATCGTGGCAGTTTTGTCACACCGCGTATCAGAGGCTGCAGTGAATTTGAGACTTAATTGTATGAACATGCTTTCATCAATAGCAAATAAATGGACAGACAGTTTTTCAAATCGCTCCTCCTTTTTAATGAACAAGCCATCCAATTGGTGTGAGTTATTTATATTTACTATATAGCATTTTTCTATTTTAGTGAAATATTTAGGATTACTTGCCATGTCGAAAATATTGAAGACTCATCCTAAAAGTGTACAGTCACATAAGGATTTAATTCTACAATGTCTCGAAGATAAGGATGAATCGATACGACTGCGAGCCTTAGATTTACTATATGGAATGGTAATTTAATTTATATTTATATTTTATTTTAAAGCATTGATGATTTCTTTCTTATGTTTATTAAACTGATTTATAGCTTGCTGCGCGACAGAAAAATCTTACTAAACTCGGTTTCATCGTTCTTGGCGTGTGCCTGAAATAAGCTACTACGGAATTTTTAATATTCGTCTCTCTCTCTGATACACAGATGCGTAATTCAATTGTCCGAGTCACGTTCGTCATGGTAAAGTGCGATGAGAAGGGAATGAAGAGACCACTCACGTCTCCCAGTATTGTAGCAATAACACCGATGCGTTTGGCCGATACGGTGTCGGTGATAAGTTTGGCCTCTTTACAAATACAGATAGCTGCCACTGGAGGAGGTAAACGAATCGAGCTTAGACAAGGAAAGACCGATGAAACAACTTATTGCAAGTGTTTTTACACGCACACGCCAAGAAAGATGAAAACGTCTATACCAAAAATCCGTCCGACGACGACTGCAACAAGCAACAACCGAAATTTTGTTATTTAATTTTTACGCGTGAGTTTTTTGTGTGTCCCCGCTTGGCTAGACAGATTATAGACCACCTGCATTTTGTTGTATCTCATTATACACTAAAACTAAAACACCTCAACAAGTTCACTGCTGTAGCCGTCACATAGACCGACCATATGACATTCCTCATGCGCCATGGCGGTTATGTGAGCGGGTATTAGATTAATTTTTAATTTTCATCTGTGGTTCAATAACTAAATGGAATTTTCCAAATTGTTCAAACTCATGTATACAAAATATAAGTAAATATAATAATATTTTACATTACGTTTTCAAAAGGTTGGTGTTGAAGTAGGGAAGGCAAAACTGCGGGTGTATAGTAACTGTTTTGACTTTGTTTTTAGTTATTTTTCCTCTGACTTTCTTCTCATAACAACCTTTACGATATTTCCTTACAGTATAAGCTACCCCTTTTTTCTTTAGTAATGTATGATTGTTCACACTCTTCCTAGCAATTGGTTATTGTAGCACATAATCATGTTGGTTTGATTCTAAACCCCCTTTCAGTAAGCTACCAAAAATTATTCCACAAAACTTACTGTAATGTTCGTATTGAAGAATTCTTTGAAAACAATAACGACGTTTACAATAGTTGTGCCCAGCATTGCTCTCTTGCCATACGACTTCAATGAACGTCGCAGAGTAGAATTATAACTGGAGATCTGGTCCGATAAATTGATCGAAGATTTTCCAGTATTATAGTCTATTATGGCATATGGTTTATTTACAGGGTCTGTAAATCTTTCAATAGTTTTGACACTTATCTTGCCCTTTCCTGGTACCAATTCCCCTCATTTTCTTTAGCAAACGTTTCACATTTTTCCAATTTTTTACCCACAACAGATTAGCTCTATGATTTACTCTTAAAGTTACTAGAACATGCGTTTCGTTTAACAGGGCGATTGGCCAACAAAGACAAAATGCATGGTTACAACAGCAAATTTACTAAGATGTAAATTGGAGCTGGAAGGTCAAATAATGGAACAAGTGATGGAGTTTAAATATCTATCTCGAAACCGAAGTGGAAGATCAAGTGAATAGAGCAAACAGAGCCGCAGACTGCCTAAATGAAACAATATGGAGAAATAAAAATATCGGGAAAGAAACGAAAGGCAGAATTTACAAAACAGTCATCAAACCAATAGTGACATACGCGGCAGAAACAAGACCTGACACAAAGATGACAAAAAGGATATTAGAAACAGCAGAGATGGAAACACTACAAAATTGATGGTAAGACACTATGGGACAGAGCTAGAAGTACGATAGACGACATAAGCAAGGTGGAGAACATCAAAAACTGGGTAAGAAATAGAAGAGTAGAATGGAACGATCATATAAGCCGAATGACAACAAATAGAGTAGTAAAGACGGCAAGAGACGGTTCCACAATAGGAAGACGATCAGTAGGAAGGCCACGAAAGCGATGGAATGACAACTTACTAGAGGCACATTGAGAAAACAGACAGAGTCATGTCTATATAAAAATAAGAAGAAGAAAAAAGAAGAATTTCGTCGGTTGGCAATCATGTAGCCTTGTTTTTTAGAGGTATTTGTTGAAAGCAGTACTTGCTATCTGTATTACAAATATGCACCTGTAGTGCCAAAACCTTATCTAAATCCCAGTTGGTTTCCTGTTATTTTATCGTCTAATTTTTTTTAGACACGTTCTTGTATTACTCACAACAAGACTTTTAAAATGTGGTTCATCTAGCTGGGATGAACTCGGATGTTTGGTCATTATTTCGGAATTAAAATAATGAGTACTCACCGATTTGTCGCTGTTTTTCTTTTGCCAAGTTTAGTAAACGTTCTAATGGCTTTATAATCATCCACCTACCAAGGTATTATTATACAAAGCACAAAGAATGCAGTAAATGAAGCACCAACAACTGAATGCAATATAGAATGCGCCGGCGCATAATAGCGTTAATTGCTTGTAACGACCACCAGTGCCGAAGCGGTCAAATCGGCCGCTTTTGGTTTTTTACTTGTAACTTGTTGGTTTTTTTTTTGATACCAATGATGATTCCTTTGTGAATAACTGTAAACGTTGTTGTCTATTCAAAACTATGTAAAACGATTGTATAATCGACATTATTTCATTTTTAACTAAATTATCTTATTTAAGGTTTCGAAAAAAAATCTAATGGAAATTGTTAAAAAACTAATGGTCCACATGGACAAAGCAGAAGGAACCATTTATCGAGACGAACTTCTTAGTAAAATTATTCTAATTTGTTCTCAAAATAATTATCAATTTATTACTAATTTTGAATGGTACGTCACGGTTTTAGTGGAATTAGCCCAAATGGAATTCGGATCAAAACAAGGTAAATATTACATTAGATGAAGAATTTTAGTCTTTTCCTCTATCAGATATTACGTAAAAGCAACAAACATATCGTTTGTTAATTTTTTAGGTCATGTCATTGGAGCCCAACTTATGGATGTATGTATAAGAGTTCAGGCAATACGGGCTTTTACCGTTGCAGAAATGGCACAGATATTAGACATTTATACCTCAACATCACAGTTTACTATCATGCAAGAAGTTCTGTACGCTGCAGCGTGGTTATGTGGAGAATTTGTGAGGTAAGTAAAAGTTTAGTTAATTAAGAAAAAATATTTGGCTTAATTATGATTTTTAACAGATATTGAATTTATTAGTTTTGGCATTATTATCGAGGTGAATCTTTTAGAAATCAAAGTTTAATAAGCAGGTTAATTAGTTCTTCTACGAAAGGTCCCAGTATCTTCATTAAGCATTAGCCCCCATCTACATTAGCCTGTAGCATCCTGATAGATGTATCTGATGAGGAATATGTATCGGTGATCTATTCTACATTGTGTTAGAGCTTGGAGCATTTCACTTTGATTGACCGGCGGTCAATTCATGGTCAATATCAAACTGTATTTAAAACAAATTAATAATACTTATTTAAGATGCATTTAAGTTTTTTTTTTAGATAATTATTAGGACTTAATTAAAATAAACAAAAAGAACATTTTTTCTTTAAATAAAATACACAAAAAATAGATGACTAAAAAGTTGAAAATCCCAATCACAAAACAAACCAAAAAAATTATCATCATCATCAATTCATCAATTAACCCATATTTGTCCACTGCTGAACGTAGGCCTCCGTAAAATTTTCCACTTATTTCTGTCTTGAGCTTATTGCATCCAGTTTGTGGTGATGCGCTTGATATCATTCGTTCATCTAGTCGGTGGTCGTCCTCTGCTTCGATATGCATCTTGCCTTGGTCGCCATTCCAGAACCTTCTTGGTCCATCTGTCATCCGGTAATCTGACAACATGTCCGGCCCAAGCCCATTTATCCCTGGCTATTTTTTCAACTGCATCTGTGACTCCTATTATTCTTCTTATTTCTAGGTTTGGTACTTTATCTCTGATGGTAATACCTAATATTGATCTTTCCATAGCGCGTTGTGTAACTCTTATTTTATCTATTGTTCTTTTTGTCAGAGTCAGTGTTTGTGCACCATATGTAAGAACCGGTAAAACGCACTGGTTAAAAACCTTTCTTTTTAAACAAACTGGGATACTAGACTTGAAAATGTTATTCAATCTACCAAAGGCAGCCCATGTGAGACCTATCCTTCTTTGTATTTCAGTTGTCTGATTATCTCGGCCTAGGCGAATCTCATGCCCTAGATATTTGTAAGCTATTACTTGGTCGATGCTATGGCTCTGAATCAGAATTTTACCGCTGACTACAAGGTTGGTCATAAACTTTGTTTTTGAGGTGTTAATTTTAAGACCAATTGATTTTGATACTTTATAGAGCATGTGCAGCATTTTTGTAGCTTTATCAACTCTTATCAGATATTCAAACGATGTCATCGGCAAATCTTAGGGGGTTTAGATTTTCACCATTTATATTAATTCCCATATTATCCTCTCGTTCCATCTGCTTCAACATATATTCAAGAACAGCTGTAAACAATTTAGGGGAGATAGTATCATTCTGTCTAATTCCACGTTCTATTCGAAACTTCTTGGTATCTTCATGAAGGCTGACACAAGATGTACCAGTTTCGTAAATACTTTTAATCAAAGCAATATATCGGTAGTCAATGCGGCAGTCAGCCAATGCTCGAAGCATTTTATGATGATCTGTATCGAACGCCTTTTCATAATCTACGAATATAAGAAAGCTAGGCTTGTTATACTCTGTACACTTTTCTATTAGCGTTTTTACAAGTTGCAGATGATCATTTGTTCCGTATCTGGAGCGGAACCCAGCCTGTTCACAAGGTTGGTAACTATCCAGTTTGTTCACAAGCCGTTTTGTTATTATCTTCATGAATAGTTTGTATGTATGGGAGAGTAAACTAATAGGTCTGAAGTTCTTTAGGTCTGAAATGTCACCTTTTTGTGCATTATGGTTATTATTGCATTATGCCACTGGGAGGGGGTTATGCCCCTTGTCAAACAAGCATTGAACAATTTTTTCAACACATTTAGTAACGTTCCTCCTCCTTCTTTGATTTGTTTAATGACTATCCCATCTTCTCCAGGTGATTTATTGTTTTTCATCTCCGAGAGAGCTGATTTTATTTCCTCTGTTGTGATATCTGGGATATCTTCTGAGCCTACATTTTGAACTTTTGGTATTTGATTTTGATCAGGATCTGGAAGTTCTTCTCGCTTATACAACTCTGAGTAAAAATCTTGAGCAATTTTTAAAATATCTTACTTATTTGTTGTAGTTTCTGCTTTTTTATTTACAAGTTTACAAATATTTTTCGATCCTTCAGTCATTTGTCGGCGCAGAACCTTTAAACTTTTATTTTTATCAATGGCTTGAGTTATGTATTCAGTGTTGTAATTTCTGACATCTTTTCGAATGGATTTTGTGATATATTTGTTTAACTGAGATATTTTCAGTAGTGCCAACTGGACTTGAACGCCTAAAAAAAAGCAAGGACATTTCGCATATAATATGCAAAACGTTGTAAAACATATTATAAACTATTATGCTTGAAGTTGAAAACGAACTACCAAAAGATTTACGTAATACGCTCGACCAAAGAAATTATGAAAAACTTATAAACCTTTTGAAACTCGCCAAATTGTATACATATATTTAAATTTGTTCATTTTCATTTGTGGAAAGACGCAGTCAGGGAAGACCTGGAGAAGATGGAAGTAAGGCCATGGGAAATAATAGCACAGGATCGGAATCAATGGAAGGCAATAGTAAACGCGGCAAAAACTCACGAAGAGTTGTAAAAGCCAATGATGATGATGATGATTTAAATTTGTTATTTGTAGGTTGTTACTTTTTCCGCATTTATGACATTTAATATCTCTGTGATCATTAAGATTTCTTTACAAATATGGATTTTGTGTCATAATTCACACACTCAAAGCAGCTGAATTTTAACACGGTTTTATGACTTTTTCATTGCCTATTTTACATCGAATATGTTATTCCTTCAATATGATCATAGATTTTGTTATATCTATGAATAAATTGTTGCGCCGTTTTTCTAATACTCTATTAAAAGAAATATTAGTCCTTGTAAATCCTTTGCCTCCCCGTATAATCTCGTGTACACACTGACGAAACCTTATCAAACTTCTTGATAAACTTTGGTAATGCGAAAGACGTATGAAACATCAAAGAACTGGCCGTTGAATTTCAATTGTGTACTGGAAATAATTCGTTTAATGCCCTTTTGTTACGGCTTATTATGGCGACATCATCTGCATATGCGCATATTTGCATTCATCTTGTATTAATACAGCCATTTATATCCAGTTGTCTAACAACAACTTCTAAAGTTAGATTAAAAAATGTTTTTGATAAGGCATCACCTTGTCTAACTCCATTTTCAATATCAAAGGCCTACGTTATATCTCCATCTATTCTCACCATGGCTTTGGAACCCTCCAGAGTCATTCGTATAAGTTTAACCAACTTATTGGGTATCCCTAACATAGATAGTTGCTTTAACATTTTTTGTCGATCTACTCCATCAAACGTCTGTTAGAAATCGATATACAAGTTGTAAATAGGTATGATATATTCAACACATTTTTCATGTATACCTCTTAACATATGTATTTGGTCTATAGTTGACCTCTTTGGTCTGAAGCCACATTGGTATTCATCAATCATCTCCTCCAAAAACGATTCCAGGCGGCTATATATAATTCCTGATAATATCTTGTAGACGACATTTAAAACTGTTATGCCCCTATAGTTTTTGCAGAGTCGTTTGTCTCCCCCTTTGTATATATTGGAAAGTAGGAAGTATGATTCCTACTTTCCAATCTTCTGGAATGACTTCTAGTGTCCATATACGGTCGATTAGTTTATGGATACGCCTCCATAGTGCATGCCCACCATTCTTTATCAGTTCTGCAGTTATTCCATCTGTGCCGGGTGCTTTGTTATTTTTTAGATGTTTTATGACGTTTATCGTTTCTTTCAATGTTGGTGGCTCTGCTGTATGGTGTATTATTTCTTCATCTTCATTTTGTTCTTTTGCTGGATTTAACAGCTCTTGAAAATGCTCCTTCCACCTTTTCATTATTTCCTCTTTCTCGCTGATAATTGCCCCATTTTTGACCTTACAAACTGTTGATCTTGTCATGTATCCTTGGGTGTATTGCTTGGTTTCTATGTAAAATTGTCTAGTCTCTCTTCTGTAATTTGTTGTATTTTTCTATTCAACATTTCTCTCTTTTTCCTTATACATATTTTCTTTGCATCTGCATATGCCCTTCTATTCAATCGGAATCCCTTTGTAGAACTGAAACGAGAAGCTGCTACATTTAGTCTATATATAAATGAAAGCAAAACACAATATATGGAGTGCACAAAATCGAATCAACATGAGAATCTGAAGGTAGACAAACATAACTACAAATATGCCTCCACTTTTCCCTACCTAGGCTCAATAATAAATGAAAACAACATCAGTCAAGAAATACAACTACGGATTCTTAGCGGTAATAAGTGCTTTTATGCATACAAAGAATTAATGAAAAGTAAGTTACTGAATCGTTAGTCTAAGCTTAGAATTTACAAAACAGTAATTAAATCAGTGGTCACATATGGGTGTGAAACGTGGACCCTCTCAACTACTGATCAACTGAGAATATTTGAGCGCAAAATACTAAGAAAGATATTTGGACCAACCCAATGCAGCGATGGTTCGTGGAGAATTAAAATAAACCACGAGCTGGATGAACTAATGCAGAGCGCAGATATTGTTAGATTTGTAAAGTCACTAAGACTAAACTGGCTTGGTCACCTAGAAAGAATACCAGATAATCGAGCTGTGAAAGTAGTCCAGAGATGGAAGCCCCAAGGAAACAGAACAAGAGGAAGGCCCCGTAAAAGATGTATAAACGACGTAAAGAGGGATCTTAAAACCATGAACATCAGGCAGTGGCGAAGGAAAGTGTCCGACAGGGCGTAATGGAAGAACATTGTTAAGCAGGCCAATACTCACAAAGGATTGTAGCGCTATTAGAAGAAGAAGAAGACTGGAAATAACTCAACTTATCTATTCCTTTTCGTTTTACTAGAAGTATTTTATTTTGTACTAATAGTTGTCTTTTTTTAATATAAAAACATTCTATTGACTTACTGTACTTTTATATATAACTACTTATTATTATTTTTTAGCGAATTAAAGGATCCCGAACAAACACTGAAAGCAATGGTTAAATACAAAATACTCCCGCAACATATCGAATCGGTTTTTATACAAAATATTCTCAAGGTATTCACTTTCGTTATCAGAAAGTACGAAACGGAAGAACAGTACGATGAAATTCTAAGGGTTTGCAATCTAGTGATAGACAAATTAAGTGACAGTATCAAATCTGCCGAACTGGAAGTCCAAGAGAGGGCTAGTACGTCTCTGATGATCATTAAGATTGTTCGGGAGGAATGTATATCAAGTGAGTTATCTTATTTTTAAATATAATATGATGGTTTTAGGACAAATGCGACAGTTTTTATATTTAGTACCAATTGGATGAAAATATTCCTGTGTTTATTATTCCCATAGATATGTAAAAGAGAAAAATGAAAACTATTTACAAAATGTTAGCGCTAACGAGTTAATCGTTTTCTTGGTAAATCTTAGTTTGATGTAGTCAAGTATATGTAAAGCTGAAATATAAACTTTAGAGTGTTGGAGTGATTAAGTGTGTTTATTCCCAAGACAATATGATACTCGATCGATCCTCAGTAACGAATGTGACTACCTTTCCTCCTAAATATTTAACACCATCGATCTAGCAAAAACGTGATCTTCCTCGATGTCTTGTGTCTCCTGGTGTGTTTCACCATGTTCAAAATGTACGTTTTTTTTCTTTGTAACTATTGATTGTTCTGAAGCTATTTTCTTGTGGTATTTTAAAGTAATTGCTATTTAAATGGGAATAAGCCACAATGAAAGGTTAACATATGTTTATTAACGTTTCAATTTCCACTTCGGAAATCGTTCTCAAAATACAAACATTAGTAAATTAAACAAATTTTGTTTTTTTTGTTCTTCTTCTTCTTCAAGTGCCCTGTCCGTTGCGAACGTTGGCTATTAACATGGCAATTTTGATCTTGTTTGCGGCGCTTCTGAATAGTTCGACCGATGTGAGCCCGAACCACTTCCGCAGATTTTGGAGCCACGAGTGTCTTCTCCTGCCTGGCCCTTGCTTACTGTCTATTTTTCCCTGGACAATCAATTTTAGCAGACGGTACTTATCGTGTCTCAATATGTGGCCTAGATATTCAAGCTTTCTTTATTTAATTGTATTCACGATTTCTTTCTCCTTTCCGATTCTTTGGAGTGCCTCTATGTTGGTGACATGTTCGGTCCAGGATATACGAAGAATGCGTCGGTACACCCACATTTCGAATGCTTCTAGTTTTCTCGTTAGCGTCTCCGTCAGCGTCCAGACCTCCACGCCATACAGCAAGATCGGAGAAATGTAGCATTTAACTATACGTAGTTTTAGGGGAAGAGACAAATCCTTGCTTATGAGGAGCTTTTTCATATTGCTAAATGCTGCTTTAGCTCGTTCTATTCTCGCCTTAATTTCTATGGTCTGTTCCCATTTTGCATTTACGTTGGTGCCAAGGTACACATTAGATTCTACATGGTCAATTAGTATGTTACTTATCCGTAATTGTCGAGCAGGTTGTTGCTTTTGGCTTATCGGCATCCACTTTGTCTTCTTGAAGTTGAGGCTCAGGCCGTAATCCTCACTAACTGAGTAAAGTCTTTCCATTACTTGTTGTAATTCGTCTATGGTACTGGCAAGGATCACCGTGTCGTCGGCATATCTTATATTGTTCGTTAACTCGCCGTTTATTTTTATGCCCTCATTTGCATTTTCCATACATTTGTTAAATATTTCCTCGGAATACATATTGAATAGGAGTGGGGATGATATACACCCCTGACGGACACCTCTTTGGATCTGCACGCTTTCAGTGAGTTCGTTGCCAATTTTTGCTCTTGCTGTTTGACCCCAGTATAGGTTTGCCACAATTCGAATGTCCTTGTCGTCAATACCTGTCTTTCGCAGAATACCTATCAATTGTTCATGATTGACATTGTCAAATGCTTTTCTAAAATCTACAAAGCACAAATACACGTCCTTATCAACGTCTCTACACCGCTGTATAAGCACCTGGAGAGCGAAAATTGCTTCTCTAGTTCCAAGTGCTTTCCGAAAACCAAACTGCGATCTATCAATATTTGACACCATTGATCAAGCTTACAAGCCGGTAGTCATCACAAATCTGGCCATTTGGTTTCTTCGGGATTGTAATAAAAGTTGACTGCAGCCAGTTCTCCGGGATTTTGCCGCTATTATATGTTGTTAAAAAGTACAACTAGATTATCAAGGAACTGTTTGTCTGATTTACATAGGATCTTTAATATTTCGCAGGGTACATTGTCCGGACCTGCTGACTTATTGTTTTTTAGTGCTGCAATGGCATCTTCTATCTCCGATTTAAGGATTGAAGGTCCTGTTTTTCCTTCTCCATATAGGTGATCATTAGTCCTGTCAGATGCAAATAATTTTTCTATGTATGATTTTCATGTTTTTAAGATCGTTGATGGCTCCAAGATAAGATTTCCATCGTTATCTTTTATGCTGTTGGGTGACTTATTGAATTTCCTCTTGTTTGTCATCGATTTTATTTTTTTGTGCATATTGTAACTGTCGTATTTTCGTTCGTATTGTTCTATTTCTCTGCATTCGTTGGAAAACCATTTTTCTTAGTCTTCTCGAATTTTCGTTCTTATGGCTTTGTGGATCTGCTGGTATTTTTCTGCATTTTTATTCTTGAATTTACGTATTTCATCCATCATATCCATTATCTCATCAGACATTCTTTCTTTTTCCGTCGGTCACGCTTTAATAGAGTCGCATGTTGTTTGGATTGCTTCCCTCGATTTATCCCATGTCTCTATTATGTCCGACATGTTCTCGTTAATGTCCTTTATTTTCTTTCCTAGTTGTTCTCGTACTTTTATTTCGGTTCCTGGGTTAGTGAGTTTTTTAATATCGATTGTGTTTAAATTAGATCTTTTCTCGAGCCGTTTTACTCTCATGGCCATTCTGCATACCAACAAATTGTGGTCCGTAGGAACATCGGCACCTGGGTACGGTTTTGATGATTTTATCATGTTTTTATATCTAGTTGGTACTGCTATATAATCTATCTGATTTCTAATGATGTTGTCAGGTGAGTCAGCGGGGGATTTCCATGTGTAAAGTCGACGTTTGGGGAGCTTGAAGAGTGTATTACTTAACAGCAGGTTATATTCCTGGCAGAAGCATACAAGTCTATCACCTCTATCGTTTCTCTCCCCTAGGCCGAAGTTTCCCACGATCTCATTCACCTTGCCTCTGCCAACCTTTGCATTGAAATATCCCATCACTATTGTTACTTCATGTTTTTTTGTCATTTTTTTTTGTCTTAGTGAAAAATTCTTCTAACAATTTAATTTTATCTTACTCATTTATATTGACAATTCAGACATACATTATACATTTTAAAGTAGACGACTTTAAAATGATATTGCCAATATTGTTGAGTTGCGCTCCTGGGACGACTTTACTTATAAGATAGTTCATTCGATTACATGAAATCAACTTTAACATGAGGATATCCGTCAGAAAAAATAATAGCATGTAATTCGTCTTTAAATAGACAAACACATGCCATGTTGACAGTAAAATTCTCCTGTTAGTGATTCCATAGTAAATTATGAGCGAAAAAACCAGGAAAAAAACCTCATAATACTATCCTGACATGGTAAGTATTTGGTCGTGCATTTAGTTTACTTTCAATAAACACCAAATTCTAATTTTATATGTTTGTTTTTTATGTTACTCCATATGTTACTGACTTACTAAATATTAAGGACTTAAAATGGTGGAGGTAGCATAAAAAAATTTCGCTGTCCAACCAAACCCCCTCTCCAGAGGAAAATTCTAGGTGCGCTACTGAACCAGATCATACTGTTCTACCACAGTTTAATCACAAATTCTTTTTTATACTATGGTTCTACTAAGTTGTTCTGTTCTATTCGATCGATTGTTGAAAATTCCTTATTTGTAAACGATAAAGGATAATAATTTTTTTAATAAAATAATTGTAATAATAATTAATTATTATTATTATAATTAAATAAATTATAATTTACATCTCGAGTTCCAAAACCGCATCTAAAACCTAAGGCTATAGTTGAGTGTTAATTTCACTATTTTACAAATGCTAGAATATTCCACAGGGTGTTGCAAACTTTAACAAAAAACACAGTATGTACACTCGGTATACAATGACGATTTACCTCTCCAGCAACAATATTATTACAGCGCTATTCTTAAAGAATAAGGCTATAACATATTAAAAAAATACACATGCGTTAATTCTGCATGGTAATTTTTATAATAAATAATCTAATTAACAAGTTTTAAAATAAAATTTTAAGGGGTATAGATATATTATTGAGGGAGTATGATGATACAGAAATATAAGTTTATAAAAAATATTACCCAAAGTCACTGTTCACTCGCGTTATAGTCACGTAAGAGTATATAGTTCCCGTAAAAGCTTTAATTGTTTATAACAGATTCTTCTAATAGTTCACATCCTAGGTCACCTTCATCATCGTCAGTGTCTGACCACAAACTATCAGAATCATATTCGCCAACGTGTATAATTAGGTCAGCCACGTCATCTATTAAGTGTTCTTTTAAACGACACATTCTTTGAAGCGACATAATTTTTAACTACTCCCCAAATTTTTTCAATAGGATTCAGTTCAGGGTGGTAAGGAGGAAGACGTAATACAATATGTCCTTGTTTCATCATTATAGTGTCTACTACATATTGTTTATGTGCTGGCTTATTAAATTTAATTTTTTCATAAAGTTCTGGTTTTGTATTAGTCACTGCAAAATAAATGCATCTTTCTGTTAGCCATCGCTGCACGTCCTTGTTTTTCATGAAGATATAGTGGCAGTTTCACAGGCTACGTTATAATAGGATGCGTTGTCTAATACAAGCACGGTATTCTTCTGAAAAATTGGGAATGAACTTTTCTTGAAGCCATTTTGTGAAGTTTTCGTGGTTCATATCGTTATGATAATCTCCAGTACGCTGACCAGATTTGAAAATTAGTAGGCCATTTGGAACGAAACCTTTTTTCCCTTCTGCATGTACGATAATTAACCGCTGACCTTTGGCAACAAAATAGGGATGTGTAGTTCACCATCGAAATAGTTTCGATGGTGAAAACGATTCTTTCAACTGAACTAATTGAACTAGTTCATTAATTTTCATAGATCTAGTTCACTGCGAACGATTTGCATTATAAATTGTGTCTCAACTTCTAAAGAAGAAAAGAATGAATGAAAGAGAACATATATTTATTATTTTGTGAATGGATGGACTAACTTACACAAAGATCCGACAGAAAAATATCAAAAACAAATTAAGCTAGCGTTAGAAAATTCAAAAGCAATACTAAATCCAATAGAACAGAAATACCTCAATATCATGAACCCACAGCCTCCTAAATTATACTCTTTCATTAAACTACACAAACCGGATCACCCAATAAGACCTGTAGTTTCTTTTTATACAGCTCCGTCATATAAACTTTCCAAAAAACTGTTAGAGATTATTTTAGAACACACTAAATTTTCACCTAAATTCACCATAAAAAATACAATAGAACTAGTTAATAAAATACAACATTTTCAATTACCTAACAACTCCAGATTAATTTCATTTGACGTAAAAAATCTTTTTCCTAGTATCCCTCCTACAGAAACTTTTATTCTAGTAAAAAACCTTTTACACCAAAATAGTACAAATCCAGTAATTACATCTGAAATATTACATCTTCTTGAAGTTTGCATAAACCAGGACTACTTTGAATTTAATAATAAAATATATACAAATAACAGTGCAGGACTTATAATGGGTAATCCTTTAAGCCCATTGCTATCAGATATTTTTATGGATCATCTAGAGACAAAGATTTCAAAACATCCCGTATTCAAACAGTTTTTATATTGGTGGAGATACGTAGACGACGTACTGGTATGTTTCACAGGAACTAACAGGCAACTCGACCAATTTTCATCGTATATTAATTCACTTCATAGTCATATTGAATTTACAATAGAAACAGAACAAAATCAATGCATAAATTTTTTAGATTTAAAAATTAGCAGACTTCAAAACAAACATGACTTCTCCATATTTCACAAACCTACCCATACTGACACGACTATACACAATTCATCATCCCATCCAACACAACATAAACTGGCAGCTTATCATAGTATGTTACATAGATTAACAGAAATTCCGATGTCAAAAGACAACTTTGAGACAGAATTAAATATAATTAAGCAAATAGCAGTAAACAACGGATACAACGAACAAACAATTAATAAAATGTTAAATCAAAAACTACACAAGAAAGCCCTGAAAATAGTATTTCCACCACCAGAGAAAAAACCCAGTACCTTCTGCTCGATTACATATACAGGCAAAATAACAACAAAAATTGCCAAACATATAAAAAAGAAAGGAATAACACCAGCTTTCCGAACAAATAACAACCTAGGTAAATATATTAAAAATAACAAGAGCCAAAATAAAAAACACTTAAATAGTGGTGTGTATAAAATTCAATGTGGCGACTGCCCAAAAACTTACATCGGTCAAACGGTAGAAACTTTGAGAAACGAATAGCAGAACATAAAAGGGCTTTCAAGAATAGAAAAACAGATTCGACATACGCACTTCACCTTCTAGATCATAATCATTCTTTTAATGACAAATTTAAAATTCTTCACGTTCAAAATAAAGGCCTTAAGCTATCTTTGTTAGAATCTATGGAAATCAACAAATTAAAAAACACAGATATAATTCTGAATGACCAACTTGAGACAAACAGTTCTCCCCTCCTCAACCTATTTCATTAGAGACTATAAATTGTAAACGCATGCCAAAAATAGATCACTTGAGAAAGGCAATCAGCCGAAACAGCTGTAGTGATAATAGTTAAAATAAATTTTGTGGAAGTTTGAAAACGAAGTTTTCAGTGTTTTATTGTTACATAATATTTTAAACCATTTAAACCTAAACATACGATCGAAAGAAATAGTTCCGAACTAATTGTATGGTACTGAACTAGTGAAAGACTGACTGAAAACCGAAGAAAACGGGCGGCCGGCGCAGAGTTTGTATAATGATTGAGACGAGACACCTGGCAACCAGTTATGTTAGGGTTGGATTTCGATTTCTGTCCTATAAATAGTTCTTTTGAACTAGTTCGTCTAAAAGAACTAATAAGCACACCTCTACAAAACAGAAGGCTTTAAACACTTGCTTCCAAATGCCATGCCTAAATTCCAATTTAAACTTTTCCATGAGTATTTTTTGGTTATGATTTATTTTTTGCCATTTAAAACCTAATTTCTTCAACACTTTTCTGAACGACGATAGTTTACCTTGGACATTAATCTCATCCTTAACAGCGTTGTAAACAGCTGACATTGTAGTTTTGCTGCCATGAATCATTGTAAAGGTATGCACTGTGTTTCTTATAATTTCTCCCTCATAACCATCGACGTTGGTTTTCGGTTTTGACAGATTAATCTTTTTTCTGGGAGATTTAAAGATATTTCCCGAACTGCCTGAAGGAGATGAAAATCGGAAACTCTCTCTCCTTTAATAATTCTTTGGACTATCTATCTATCTATCTATACAGCCGTTAACATCCATCCTTGGATATAGGCCTCCTCCTCCTTCTTCCATGCCTCTCTATCTTGGGCAATTTGCATCCATTTTGACCCGGCGTGTTTCTTCAGGTCATCTGACCATCGCATTTGTGGCCTTCCCCTTTTACGTTTGTGATTCCATGGTCTCCAATGTATAATTGTTTTAGTCCATCTTTCATCTTTCTGCCTTAGGGTGTGTCCAGCGAACTTCCATTTAAGCTTTGCTACTTGGGTTGAGACATCTTTCACTTTTGTTTTATTACGGATCCATTCGTTTCTTTTTTTGTCTGATAGTTTAATGTTCAGCATTTGTCTTTCCATGGATCTTTCTGTCTTTGCTATTTTTTCCATATTTTCCTTTGTAAACGTCCATGTCTGAGAGCCATATGTGAGGACAGGGAGTATACATTGATTGAAGACTCTCGTTTTTAAGTATTGGGGGTATTTTGAATTCTTTAGAATATAAGACAGTTTTCCGAATGATGCCCAGGCCAATCTTATTCTTCTCTTTATTTCTTCGGTCTAATTTTCTTTATTTAATTTAGTGATTTGGCCTAGATATATATACTCTTTTACTTGTTCTATTTTTGTTTGTGCCACTGTAATTATAAGTTCTTCTGGTTGATTAGTCATGGTTTTTGTTTTACTATAATTCATCTTGAGTCCAATTTTTGTCGATTCTCTATCTAGTTCTTCCATCATTCTTTGTAATTCTTCACTTTTTTCTGTTATTAATACAATATCATCAGCATATCGTAAATGATTCAGATTTTGCCCGTTTATATTAATTCCCAAGTCATCCCAGTGTAGTCGTTTAAAAACATCTTCTAGCGCTTGGTTAAATAACTTGGACTTTACTTTGGACTATACTTTTAGAAATTCAAGTGGCTTCAACAATCATATTTAAAACAGAAGATTTCGTTTTGTATTTTTCTTGCTCCTTTTTTAAAAACTTATACACGTTGTAAATAATCTATCGGCTCTGACTGTGAATAACACGGCTGGTATTCATTGTGATGGCACTGTGAAGGAAATGAAAATATAAAAATATTTTGATTAAACAATTATGATTGATGTAAATATAAATTAAAAAAACATATCACTTCTATGTTCGGTAGGTGGTATAAAATGCTTTCATTTTTCTATAAAAAAAATCACCAAAAAAGTGTTAGTACCGTTTTGAAGCTATTTTCTTGTGGCATTTTAAAGCAATTACTATTTAAATGGGAATAAGCCACAATTAAAGGTTAAAATAAGTTTATTGACGTTTCAATTTCCAATTCGGGAATCGTTCTTTTTTTAATTTTTTTGAGAACGATTTCCGAATTGGAAATTGAAACGTCAATAAACGTATTTTAACGTTTAATTGTGGCTTATTCCCATTTAAATAGTAATTAACTAAAAAAAATGTTAAGATTACATAACTACGTATCTACCTATATAAAATAAGTATTTAAATTTTCTATTTTTATCAACAAAAATTATTTTTCTTGTTAAAAAAACACGATGTATAAAACAAAGATTTAAAAAAATATATAAACTCAAATCAACATAAATCGTAATATATGAAGTAGTTTTAGAAAAAAAGATTTTCCGATATCAAATATTAACCAATTAATTGAAACAGACTGCAAGTAATTTTTGTTTTGCACCAGTCTCAAAAAAAAGAAATGAAAAAATTTTATTAAAATTACCTTAATATTTTAATTTATGAAAAGTACCTACCTTTTGACCGTTTTTAATAAATTTGAATACGCAACAGGTAAACGGGAGAAAACACATAAACTTATTGAAAGTTAACACCTCAAAGTCAAGAACACAACTAAAAATTTTCAAGTCAATATTTTCATGTTTCACACATGTACACATGTACAGTGAGTTTCGCATGAAAGTGGGGACTAAACCATATTTCGTCTACATCGCCGTGGTCATGAGTGTTTGCACTATCTCTACCTTCTAACATCTACTCTGTGACCTATATTGGGAAAACAACTATGATTACTTTTTTTCTGACTAGTAGATGGCGAAATGACCAGTGTCTCGCGTATTATATAAAAAATACGGTGGGCGTTAATGGGTTAATGCCCTTGTTACTGAAATAACTATTAACCCACTTCACTTGTACTGTTTATAAGGTACCATAAATGTGTTGGACTTTTTGAGTTTTCACTTTAACCTTCCAGTACATCGTTGCCATTTAAATCTCCACAACTATTTACAGTACCATAGCTCTAGAAATATTAACTGAGTTTTATGATTTTTTTTTTTAATTAATGGTAGTGTTTTATGTATAATTGTTATTTGTTTCCATGTCTGGTTTTAGGGAAAGCAACTGGTAATTCAAAACTCATGGAGAATGAAGATGTTGAGGGTAAAACGGAAAATACTTTGTTAATTGCGGACGAACTCGAAAGTTTGTTTTGCGGTGAACTGAATCCAGTTGCGCCGAAAGCACAAAGGAAAGTGCCTGTACCAGACGGGTAAGTGTAAAAAAACATCTATACTGAACTCAAATTGTCGGTGCAAATCATATTTCACTTGTTGTCAGTGATAAATCTAGCAATACAAGCGAGGTCCTCACTTTGTTGTCTTCGAATGCTAGATCTCTATATCTCTAGAATATTAAAGTTTTAATCTTGTTGTAAAGATTAGAACCAATCTTCAAAATGTAAAGAACGTAAATTGGTAGTTGAACAATCATTCTAAGATGGCGGAATGCTGCTAAGTTGAGATTTCAAAGAAATAGAACCTGGACTTTCTAGTAAACATCTAGTAGTCAGATTACTTTTTATCAACATCAAAATTGGAATTCACACAACTGGAAATCCAACAAACACCAATTAGGATCAAAAGGACCATTTGTTAAATAAATCGCGGCAGTTAACATTAAACAGTGCCAGGTGCAAACCAGTCAGAATAAACACTAATTAATTCTTAACAGTAACAATCCACAGATACCACTGAATGAATACAGAGCATTCGATCGTTTCGCTTGTGGGAGAAGTCTTGTAACTCGATATGTCATATTTTGCCTACGATCTCCCTCCAGATGATCACTGTAGATTCTATAGAAGAGTTGTAACTTTAGACTAAGCGTACATTCAGCCCTAGAGTAAGTTTTGAATAGAGTTCAGTTATAGCTTGAGCTAGAATTGATAAATTAAATAATTGATAATAAAAAACACTCAAAATATGATGACGGAAGTATTGTCAAATGGACAATAACACAATATTCTCTCTTTTGTTCGCAGATGATCAAATGCTGATAGCTGCTGATACTAACGACTAAGCTATATGCTACGTAAACTGTTTTAATTATGGGAATTAAAACTAAATGTACATAAGCCCAACTATATGGTAATTGGCGGTGAAAACAAGCAAGATCTCGTTACAGAAAAATTTAATACTAAGCATTACGTGCCTCACTCCTCTATCTATGGAGACTGCCTCTGTCAATTGATCATCCACTTTAATATTGGCTGTTTGGTTGTAATATAAATTATAGATGATTCTTAAGTCCCTATCATCTAACCCCACTTCTTTCAAGATGTTTATAAGTTTATCATGTTTTACTCTATCAAATGCCTTTTTGTAGTCAATAAAACAAATATACACATCGCAGTTAACATCCCTGCATCTTTGCATAAGTACTTGGATAGCGAATAGAGCCTCTCGGGTGCCTAAGGAATCGCGGAATCCAAACTGCGTCCATGATACTTGTTCTTCGCATTTTTTATATATTCTGCCGTGTATCACTTTCAAGAACGTTTTAAGTAAGTGGCTCATTAGGCTAATTGTTCTGTAGTCTTCGCATGTCTTGGCATTTACTTTTTTTTTGTATTGTCACGAAGATCGAGTTTAACAAGCTTTGGGGTATTTTTCCAGTTACGTATATGTTGTTGAATACAGTTGTTATCCATTTTATTCCCTGTTTATCCATAAGTTTCAGGAATTCTGCACAAAACTCGTCAGGCCCTACCGCTTTACCATCTTTAGTTCTTTTAATAGCTGACGTGACTTCTTCAATGGTAATCGGGGGTCCTGTTTGGCATTCAGTGTCTTCAATGGTAGTCTGCCTTTCATCTGCAAAAGTTACTTCCACATAATTCTTCCAAGTGTCTAGTTTTTCTTCCACAGTTAACAGTGGTTTGCCTTGGTTATCTGCCAAACACCCAACTGTTCTAGGTTTGTATAAGCCTGCGGCTTCTTTAACTTTTGTGCATATTAAATGTATCGTGTTTATGTTGCAATTGCTGTATTTCCGAACACTGTTTCCTTAGATGTGTATCCTTAGCTATTCTAATAGCTTGTTTGATCTTTTTATCGATTCTTTTGTATAATGACATGTCTTGATTTTTGAATCAAGACATGTCATTATCAATCAATCAAATAAATCAATCAAAATATCATCAATCAAATATTATAAGCATACAATATTCGGTGCCCGTGAGTTAACCAGAACGTTATCGCGATTTCTAGGTATTTGCCTAGCCAAGCATAGTATTTTTTGGTATTTATTCTACCTTGGTAGTTAGTAACTTACAAAGACACCATCTACCAACGAATATGTCTTAAAACCAAAAAATTCGTCCTTTGTGAGAATGATGTCATGAGTTTTTGTGTTTAGATTTCATGGTTAACTTCATTAGTATAATTTTACATTAACATTTTCAGTTTAGATTTAGATGCCTGGATCAACGAACCTGTAGACGAATCAGAGTCGGACAGTGAACCTGAAATGGTAGAGAATCTATTTGTAAAATCAGAAAGAACTAGGCCATCGTACCAACCGGAGCCTACGGAAGAGGAAATGAAAAAGGTACATTCTTAAAACACTTTACAAAACATATAACATTAAAATATATTCCTAAAACATCTCACGATAATTCGCTGCTGTAAAATCTTCTGACCTATTCAAATAATATTTATTATTTTTAGAGTCGGGAAGCTAGAAAGTACGAACAACAAAACAATCCGCACTATTTAAAGAGTAATGATTCCATCGAACGCAACGGAAACAGTAATGGCAATGAACATTTCGATAGTATACCCATTGCCGAATTAAATCTCAATGTTCCGCTGAAGATGATAGGCCAGAAACGGTCTGATAAGTACCTTAATGTTAGCAAAACGTCCAAAAAGAAGAGGACTAGTAGGAAGAAAAAACACAAGTCTGAAAGGTAAGATTGAATTTAAGAATTACCGTTTTAAAGTAGAAACTTTATTTTTTAATGTCCTTAAAAATAAAATCGAAACAAATTTTCTTGTGCAAAACCTAAAATTAATGCCAAATAATGAGTCTATCGACACTTTTACCATCCAACGCGCACCTAACTTCAAGCGTGAGTGAGCGAAGAGTGAGCCGTCTACAACAATGAGCCCTATAATGTATCATTTACGTAAATAATTATAGACAAATCTACAATTCTATTAATACTCTATAAAAACGGTATCATGTATCATGTTCTGTGCTGCTATGCGTAAAATGACGTAGAAATTTCATTTAGCATGGAGCCACAGCACAAAATTACATCCAATGTAATTTACGGTTCTGCCACGTGGTGCAGATTTGTAAGTTTTATATAGCCTCTGTTGGTTTTGTTTTGCCAGTCAGAACCTTTATTGGTTTTTAAAAGAGTCCAATTGGCGACGTGCAAGTACTTGGAGGGGATACGAGAAACGATCGTGCGCGAGTAGCGGAGAAATCTTGCATTTTTTACTGCACATTTCATAGATTTCATAAATTCATATTGTCAATTGTCATATTTCATATTCGTTTGTTTATTTACACCTTCTGTCACTGAAGAAAATGGGATTTAGGAAATGCTGTGTTATAAATTGTAAAAATACAACAAAAATTGTCAATTTAAGTTTTATTCGTTTCCAACTTCGAAGCACAAAGCTACTACAAATAGAAAAGTGGATTTATATCATAAAAAAGCATAAGTAACATAACCTAAATTATGCATTATTCTTGCGCCCGATTTTAAAGTCAGTTTGAAATACATAATATATAAAAGTTCACTTTTAAGTGTAAATTTTAGTTTCATAACACTCACTTAGAGTTCATTTTAATCCAAAAATCAAGTTTAATGTTAAATTTTATTTTTTTTAAGTTTACAAAAATGCTTCAAGTTCAAGTTTTTCTCAAGATGCATTAAGATATATTCGCTGTCCAAAAGTTTACAGGAAAAGAATTAATTGTTCAAACCAAAATGATGATATTATGGGCTTAACCTGCTAATTTATGCATTAGCATAATTATGGTAATTTATTTTTCTTAATTCTTCCACATAATTGTTCCATTCTTTTTTGACATTTGCCACTACTAAAGCTTTTCCCTTTGACTCAGTGCTTGGTTGAAATGTTATTTGGTGATTTACTTTCTCAAATCCAGTTTTTATTATTGCATCCATATTAACAGTAATGCTGTAATTTAATAATATATTTATTTGTACTTACACTACATACAACGTTTAACTTTTAGTAACATACCGACATAACCTCAATCTTACTTTTTTTTCTTATTCTTTTTTGGGGCTACGTCCTTGACAGTTATCCGGTAACCTCGATCTAACATGAAAGCGCAGTAAATTTTGCTGATTTACGATACCAGGTGTCGCTGTTCCGAACTTGCACGGTCCCAATATCAACTCTAATTGTCTTGTGTTTTTTATGGAAGCTATATCAACAAAAATACAGTAAAAATTGTCATAAGTAAAACCTTAGTTTAGCACATACAAAACACTGTAGCTTGGTTGTTTCATTGCTTCGAATGTCGGAACTCGTCACTACTTTGACATGAAGGAGTTGCCAACTGCTATAAAAAAGAAAAATTATGAATAATTAGATGTGTTCGCATGATCTTTGTTAACAACACTGTTTTTAAACGTTATAAGGTTTTTATTCGTAATAAACACATTTTTTTTATTTTTAGTTCCTCTGATGAAGAAGTTAATCATGGTCCTGTGATAGAAGTAAAGAGAGATATGGAGCTTCCAGAAGGAGCCACAATTTCTGACAATGAAAGTGATCATTCTCATAAAGACGATCCTCATCGAGCCCTAGATATAGACCTAAACTTGTAAGTTCCATAACATTACAATTATTTCTCTTTCTTACACTTCCTTTACAAGATCTGCTTGCCATTACGCTAAATTCAGTACTTAATTTAGTAATAAAAGTATTGTATCTACAACATGGATGCGCGCGTAGATTCAACACTAAAAATTAGAGCATGTTTCTTGTACTAAAAATGATGAAATATTACCGAAAAGTGAGGTTATTCTCAACTGGTCGTAACAATTTTTTAAACAAATTATTATTCATTCGTAAAAATTTTTAATATGCCAAATTGTCTTCTACTAATAATTTTTCATTCGACATAATTAATATTCCTTTGCATAACCCTCTTCTGTATATGCATTATTTTTTCTCCACATAAGCTTTTTTAAGGAGTATGTGATTTTTTTCTTAAGCATCATTATTACAATTAAAGCTACTGCACATAATTTTAACTTCTTTTTTACGATCATTATTTACCTGTGTGTTTTGTTTACTTTAATAATAAAACAAACTTCATTGTTAGATTTATCAATACGAAATTGGTAGAGAGCGTGCCTACATATTATTTAAAATTAAGATACTTGCAAACACAAACTCATATTTTTCAGAAATCAGTACTGAAATTAGCATAATAGTAAACAGACCTAACGTTTGCGATTTCGTAGTATCAAATTGATATCTTGTTTTATTTATTTGTCAAAGTCAGAGTTTGACTTGCGCATGCGCATATCTATTTGAGTCTTCTTAGTTGTTACCTCTCTTAGTTTCGTTTTATAGTTGTAAATTATTTTGTCATTTACGTATCAGTATGCTTAGTGCAGCAATCAGATGATTAAGGAATAGACGAGCTGCTGGGACCAGGTTCTAACTGAGGGATTAAGAATGAGGTGCCAAACTTGAATAAAATAATAAGAACTGTGTTTAAAATGTGATATATAAAAATCAAATCATTCTAGAAAGGAAAAACAATCGGGTAATAACAATATTTAAAAAGAACACTATCGCCGCTGAAAAAAAATGCGGAAATACAATTAGGAAAGATGCATGCAAACCTAGAAAGGCTTTATTCGGGTAATAAATTCTATCATAAAAGCAAAAAACACGTTACAGTGGGTAGAAGATAATTCTTTATTTCCAAAAAAAAACGCTAACAAAATAGTATTCATATAGACAAAATCCACTACAGTAGTTTTCTTGTCTTACAGCCAGATATTTACAATCATAAACAGATTTAATACATTAAGGTATTCAGTGAAATCTTTAATACGAAAGTTTGATTGAAAGCAGACCCGTCTGAAAAAATACTAGCAAATTGCGGTAGTTCCGCTAGGAACGAAAGAGAAGAAATTATGTTAGGAATCCTGCTCAAATCCTGCTTATATCAGACGAATTTTATTACGAGTTTTAGATTACTCAATACGTATGAATTATTGGGAATCAAATAGACTACATTTTAATAAATAAAAGATTCCGAAACAGCAGACTTGGAGATAGACCACGTTACACTGGTGGGAATATTTCGAGTCAAACTCAAAACAGTGCAAAGAAGGGAAGCACAATCATACGACCTACGTATGCTGAAAGACCTTGATACGAGGATAACAGTCCAAGCCAGGGTAAACGAGCAAGTGACTGCAATTAGCGACGAATCGAACGAAGATCAAACGATTAAACATATTACAGAACTAGTGCAAAATGTAAATAATAAACACTTAAAGACAGATAGATTAATGAAGAAAAAATCATGGATGACAGATGAGATCCTGAAACTAATGGACGAGAGAAGAGAAGCCAAAAATGACCCAGACAAATATAATGCGAAGAAATAGAGACTCTGCAGTCATAGTACGATAGTCACAATGTAAATAGGAAAGTTAAAGAACTCACAGGGGGCTAAGACGAAGGCAGAAAGGAAATATAACTGATTCTGACAGAAACATAATCTTGGACAAACAGAGTAAAATAAGAACCTGGAAAGAATATCTAGAAAAACTGTTTGAAGACCAAAGAGATAACACCTTTAAGCTAGAAGAAGAGGTAAATGATGAACCAAGAATATTACATCAGGAAATTTATTCCGCAATAACACAGTTAAAGGATGGCAAAGCGGCAGGCCCTGATAATATACAAGCAGATCTACTCAAACTAATGGACAACGAATCAATAGCAATAATCGCAAAGATATTCAACAACCTATACAACTCTGGAGAAATACCAACAGAATGGCTGAAATCTCAGTTTATTGCACAAAACCAGGAGCCAAAAAATGCGAAGATTGCCGTACTATAAGCCTCATGAGACATCTCCTAAAATTGTTACTAAAGATAATTCATAGGAGAGTCTACAAGCTGTGTAAAAGTCAAATTTCCCCCAACCAGTTCGGGTTTACAAATGATGTTGGTACTAGAGAGGCTTTGTTCTCATTACAAGTCTTATTTCAGAGACGTCAACTGCGACGTATACGCATGGCTGGTTGATTACGAGAAAGCGCTAGATCGAGTACAGCACGCCAAGATGATGCAAATACCAAAAGAAGCAAGAATTAACAACCAAGATTTGAAAATTATTAGAAATCTTTACTGGAATCAGACAGCAAATCGCAGAGTTGAAGGTGAACACACTGACTATGTGAAAATCATGCGTGGAGTGAGGCAAGGCTGTATTTTGTCTCCTCTAATCTTCAATTTGTACTCTGAAAGAATATTTATCGAAGCTTTGCACGAAACTGAAAAAGGTATTGTACTAAATGGTTACAGGCTAAACAACATCAGATATGCAGATGACACCATAGTATTTGCGGACAACTTAGAAGACCTAAAAGTTCTTATGAACAAAATCACGTATTACAGTGACAACAATATGGACTCGATATAAACGTTAAGAAGACAAAGCTTATGATAATTAGCAAGAAAAGGATAACAGAAGGTCAACTTTACGTCAACCAATCTCCTGTAGAAAGAGTGACGCACTACAACAAGAATGTACCAACAACCAGGAGATTAGAGCACGCTTCGGAAAAGCTAGATCCACCTTGAATCGGATGGGGGCCTTCTTCAAGAGTCACAACCTCTCTCTTGATACAAAAGTAAGAATTCTGCGATGCTACGTCTTCTCTGTCCTTTTATATGATGTTATAAAAGGACAGAGAAGTAGACCTTTTATATCGTGGACCTTGAACGAAGATATGTGCAGAAAACTGGAAGCATTTGAAATGTGGCTATATCGGAGAATGCTTAAGATCCCGTGGACTGATCGAGTCACAAATGAGGATTTTTGAACCTGCACAGGCGACCGGAGCAAAATCAAAAAGCAATTTCTTCGAGTGACATCTGTGATGTACCTGTGCGTCTGTGCGAGTACTCCGGTCGCCTGCGCAGGTCGCTTCAGTTGTTTTCTAGTGTTTCTCTGGGAAGGCCGTCTTGTCTTTCGCACCGTATTCTTACACCATTCTTTAATTACCCTAGAAAGTGGTGTCACTAGTTTCAACTAAAAAAACGCTTGAAGAATTTATCGAAATTTATAGAATTCATCCATGTCTTTGGGAAATCAAAAACAGAGATTACCATAATCGAGATAAAAAAGCGTTTGTAATGAAATGATTGCTGAGAATTTTAAATCCTCAAAACTTCTTCCAGTTGCGAGAAATCTCAACGTAACTGATAATCTTTCATGTGCAGAAATATTATTTTTTTTTTTTCATAACTGTCTTTCTTTTTATCATAGGAGTAACCATTTCAAGTAATTTAATCTATGTTTTCTGGTCCATCCGGAGATAGCTTTTAAAATCTTTTGGTTCAAATTTGAATTCATTTGAAGTTAACTCGACTGTATGTTTCCCTTTTCAACAACCTATAATGCTTAACCTATCACTTTTTTCGCTTATTTTTACCACCTTGATAAGGCGGAGCATAGAGTTAAAACCCTTAGAAAATCGATGGTAAGACACTATGGGACAGAGCTAGAAGTACATAACGTACGATGCAGATGCAAAGTGGAGAACATATACCGGGTGGTGAATCGTCAAACGGACCATAGGAAACTCAATGGGAAATTCTAAATTGTTGAACACCTGCTTCCCTAATTATTTTACATCAAAAGTCATAAGAAACTATTTGTAGAGGACTGAAATCTGTAACAAATGTTAAAATTCTTCTATGAATTAAACTTACTCCAACATTTTACAAAAATATAATACATTGTTCAGGCCACCCCTAAAAGTCAAGCCACGCGTAGTGTAAGAATGTGTATCACTTGCTGCCTTTGATCATATTGATGTAAGATGTTTGACAATATTTGAATTATCAATAGTTTTATTTTATAATTAAATTATAAACAAAAATTTTACTAAATACTACTACTACTGAACAAGAAATTATATTGTTTAAAAAGCAATAAAGGTAATGAAATAAACTCAGTTGACGATAAATCGCAATAACGTTGTATTCAGGCAATAGTACGGGCCCTGTCAGATATTTATTTAACGTAAGCTGAAAACCCTAACACCAGACCTTAGCCCGAAGGTCACACGAACTTTAATTTGTTTATGTATTTTTTTCTTTCCGTTATCCTGATCTGTAAAATGTTGTTTAAAAATATTAGTTATTCCCTTACTAACACATAAATCCTTTTAGGCCAACTTACGATCCTTCGGCGAAACCAGAACACCCTAAAAAACAATTGAAAGAAAAGAAGGAAAAGAAACATTCCAAGAAAAAATTGGATAAGGAGAAATCTAGTAAAGACAATAACGAAAAACGTACTAAAGAAAATTGTAATAGTGTTAAAGTAGTTAAGGAAAAATCTAGTAAAAAGAAAAATGGTAGGCATAAAGAGAAAAAGGAACACGTGGCTAAAGAAGCGAATTTATTAGGTTTAGACGACGTCGCAGTAGAAGCAGTAGGAGGTGAGACGGAAGTTAAAGAGATTAAAAAGGAAAAGAAGAAAAAGAAGTCCAAAACTCCAAAAGAAACAGGTAAGAAATCGTTTTATTAGATTATATTCTTAGTCCTTTCTGTTTTGTTACAAGTTTTCATTGCTTTTTACCCCTATTCCTCTTTTCTTTCCAATATTGTAGTTTTATTGCATCTTTTCTCTTTACTTAAATAATTTTACGTTTAGTTTTAAATTCTATAGAGAATTGCTAATAAAACTAGAAATGAAATTTTGACAAATTCCAAAAAATATAAAATCTTTGCATCTTGTTTTATCCTTATTTTTTTCATGTTTTTTCCCTTCTTACCATTATTATGATTTTTCACCTCATATAATTACAGCTGAAACTTTTTATATGGTTTTGACAATAAGGATCCCCTTCGTTAAGATGGGCAAAATACCCTCACTCCTAGAATTCAATGTTTTTTTTATTTTTTACGTTTATGTGATTTAAAAATAAATCTCAATTGGCTCTCGCCACCCCCTCCCCTACCTCAAAACGTTATTTTTTCGATTTTGACCCATAGGTTGGGTGTACATAACCTAAAAATGGTTTTTTTTGCGTATAACTTTTTTGTGGAGATGACTGCAGGTTGAATTTTTTTTTTATTTTGTGTATTTTATCCAAAAATAAATATTTCTGATCTTTTCCAGATTTTTCAGTAAGGTGTGCCACCTTCAAAAACCCGAAAAACTTTTATAGATTCTTGGCGATTCTTTTCTCATTTTATAGATTTCAAAATAGATCAAATTAAGGCTTTTTGTAGGTTATATATAATTTGACATAACTGAGTCATTTTGGACATTTAAAAATCAGGCAAAACATCTTTAAACCCTCAAAAACCATGTTTTTTAAGTGTTTTGTGGGGCTAAATGATATTTTCTTAGATCTATTATAACCGGAATCAATGCGTCTCCAGTTCATATTTAAAAATATATGAAAAAGAATATTTTTAGACCTCGAAGAAGCAAATACAACCATCGTTTATGTGAAAATCAGTTTTTCATGAGTCATTCTGGGTTTTACTGGATTTCCCCATCTTTTTTACGTTTCTACGTAATCAAACAGCATGTTTTCAAAAATTTTATAAAATAACATAAGATTATGTATTCATTGAAGCCAGGGATTTCTTTAGAAACATGCGAAAAATCCGATTTTCAAGTGTTTTTGTTGAGTTTACTGGATATTTATATCTTTTACCACCTTTAAACATTATGAAACGGCGCGTTTCAAAGAACGTGACTACAAAACATGAGAATTTTTTTCGTAATAATTGGACGTGTATAAATACTACGATTAAAATGTTTCTTTTTTGCAATAATTTACTAGTTTTTCCCACTTTTCTGCATTAAAATAACATTTATGGTTATAAAATCATGTTACATAAATATTTTCAGATTTTAGAACAGTATGAGGTTGTTCTGCTAACAGGGAGAGACCGAATATAGTATGGAATTGGTACCGACATACGAGATTGTTTTTAAACTCCATTAGATTGAATTTTAGTTTTATCAAAGTGTTTTTGTCACAAATTTTTCGGATAATTTTTTCCATACATGTATATATATATATATATATATATATATATATATATATATATATATATATATATATATATATATATATATATATAGTTTCCATACATCAGTTTGTACTAAATTAAATTACATTTTAAGAAAATAATTTAAGATTTACAGAATATTTTTTATAAAATAAGGATATGTCACTTTAACATTTTTTGAGTAGGAAACCAAAATAAGACTTCATCGCTGTTTTCCTCTATTACAGGTATAACATCTATATTGCCAAAGAATTTTGTAAGATATTCCGATGGCTTGATGATTTTTGCCAAGTATCTTCCATGCGATAAATATTATAGTTAAGGTACCCACACGCGATTAACAACCTATGGTTCTGTTGCCGTTTGCGCAAGTACAGTAGTATTGCTTAGTACTTTCCAAACCATCCAAGTTTTGCTTATAATGCAAACAACGTTTATAGGTTTTTCTTTATTAACACAATCACATCAGACAAATTGGCTATGAGCGAAACATTAGCGAACAATAATTTATATTACATATTTATAATGTTAGTTTGTTTTTATTTAAAACGTTAATTGAGGTTAAGAAACTTTTTGTGTTTAAAATATTTTACTGCTAACCTAAAATATCCCTAAGTTTGTTGGTATATTTTAAAACATGCGCTTTGGCGTTAATGCTTGACATTTTTCTCTAATATATGTTTGGTTGTTAATTTTCCATCACAGTTGTCACATCTTGGTTCTTTTTTGTTCCAGAACACATAGCTATTAGTTAATCGCGTATGACCCAGTCGGAGTCGCGTTAATATTACCTGGTCTCTCCGACTTGTTGGTAATGTGGGCCAGGGTTTTATCTATTTTTTAACTTCGCGTAGCTTGGCTGATGACACTTTTCTTCCCACATATATCGCACGTTACATTTAACCGTTGCTTTCAAGTTAGCACTCGTAAATGTTTCAGTACACTCCGCAATATCACTTCTTCTTTTGTCTTGATAACCAAAGGATTAGTTGGTTAGACATATTGGATTGACTTACAGAACTTAGAGAGTCTCTGAGTATAATATAGTTGGTATTATTGGCTGCGTTGGCAGCAAGGGTGGCCTCATATAGAGCATATAGTTCATCAGAGTAAATAAAGTACTCTGAAGGGAGTTTGTATTTATTTGTCGATGTTAGGGTTATGATATCAGCACCAGCACCTTCATCTGATTTAGATGCGTCTGTGTTGATCTGTGTATAATCCTTGTAGTTGTGAAGCATATCATTGAACGCAGATTTGATTAACTGTGGGTTTGTTGAATGTTTGTCGAAAGAAATGAGATGAGTTAGGCACTGAGGGTTCTTTATTTGCCTGGGAGGAATTAAGGACGATTGGAAGGAAAAGCATTCTGGGAACGTGTATTTTTATTTGATTTAAATAGCTTCTAATCTAAGTTCTCAGATCTAAGAGATCTGAGAACTTTTGTGTAAAACAATTTTGAATAGTAGGGTTTTTTAGTTAGACCGGATTTTTGCGGCATATGCTACACTTAAATAAAGTCTTCTCTCTTCTAAGGACGGTTCACCAACTTCACAATAAATACTTTCGATGGGTGTTGTGTTAAAAGCTCCAGATATTATACGTAAAGATAGGTTGTGAAGACTGTCAGGTTTTTAGCAATGTCTTAGTGGTTGTAGAATTCACAGCAGATCCATCATCTAGTTTTGATTTAATTAATGTTCTCTATAACATTTAAAGTGTTTGGCGATACGCACCCCATTCTTTATTGGCCAGAGTTTTTAGAAGATTTAATCGCTTGTGACAAGATAAGATCAAATTTGTTATATGAAGTTTCCAGCTTGAGAGTTTCTTCTAATGTCACGCCCAAGAATTTTATTGACGTTACACGTTTTCGTTTGTCTTTTGTCTCATCACATTTATTGGTTTTGCTGTTGGTGTCCGAAATTTTATTTCAAATTTAATAATGCTTTGAAATAACTTACGTATATTTCAGCCAAATAAGATATTGCCTGGTGTAGTTGTTACGATCCAATAAAGAGTATTTTCAAACTCTTCAGTTGATAACTTGCGAGAGTATTTTTCAAATCTTTCGTTTGTTCGGTTATTGTAATAATTTTTTCAGTATCATTTTTATCGGAATTCAATCTTTTTCCAAATAAATTGTACAGCAAACAGGCAATTTGGCAGTATTGACGTGCATTGTGCAACAAAGAATTATGAAGCTGAAGATGTAAGAGCTTCCATTTTTGAGCAATCATTTCGTGTACTGCCTCAACCACGCACCTGACCTTAGTAACTAACCTTAGAAGTATCAAATTACTCAACTGTAAGTTGATTTCTTTTATCTTCTAAGACTGGCATCAATACTTTAAAGCCTTTGCTTTATAGGAGAGGTACGTCTCGGAAATCTCTATCTAACATAAAGACCTCCCCTTCCTTCAATATACTTTGGGGACCAGTCGGATGTTAGAATATTTTTTGATATATCGTTTTGTGTAGTGTTAAAAGGTCCTTCTACATTCAATATATGTGTATATGAATGGTTTGTATAGTGATTGTAGTTTTTTTTTTTGTCAAGAATAAGGGCTCAATATTTGCGCTAATTAATAGTATTGGCACTGTTTTAATGACGTAAATATGTACTATCGCTACTTATGGCTAGGTGATCCTCTAAATCGGTAAGGTACTTATTATAGAAGACACCCTGGTTTACAAAGAATTCACACGAATGAGCCTTATATCCAAAATGATGTGGCAACAGTTTCTGGAAACACTACAAGACTGAATTAATATTCTTCTTCAGTGCCTTATCCGGTCCGGATGTTGGCGACCATCAAGGCTATCATGGTTTTGTTGACTGCTCTGCGAAACAGCTCCGCTGAGGTCATCCCAAACCATTGTCGGAGATTTTTCAACCACGAGATACGACGGCATCCCGGTCCTCTTCTGCCAAATACTTTACCCTGCATAACGAGTTAAAGAATTCGATATTTTTCTTCGTTCCGCATCACGTGACCGAGGTACTGAATTAATATTCTTTTGAATTTGGTTTTTCTTCAATTTCAAGTTATGCAGCAATACATGCATCTGAGTTTCCAGTCCTCAATTTAATCAAAAATGTTACCAATGCTTGTGTAATAGTTCTGTTTTCAGATTCTCCCATGATATGATCCCAAGTAAAACCTGTTAAGGTTTTACCTTTTTCTTTGGACAATTGCATCTCCTTTATCTTAACATGTAAATGACTATTTTCACATAAGATGAGGTTGTATGTATTTTTCTACGGCTGGAAAAGACATCGACGCATATTTTTCATTTTTATTAGAAAAGTCTAGCAAAAACATTTGAAAACTGATCTTTTGCTCGTTTTAAGAAATCCCTAGTTTCTCTGAATGTGGGAAATAGATTGTCTCATGTCGTTTTATAAAATTTTTGAAAAAATGCTGTTTAATGTTGTAGAAAGGTAAAAAAAGTTGGGTAAATCCAGTAATAACCA